TCATAGTTAAGGTCAAGCGGCATTTACTCACACCCGACGTTAAGGACAACCTGGTGGCGGTTAGTAGAGGAACCTTCCTTTTTTCACTACTCCACAAATAATGGATCATTCTGCTCTGCAGGTCACCGAGGGTCACAAAGTGAGCTTCCCCTACTTCATCGCATTTACCTCGCTGCTGAACAACATGGAGCTGATCAAGCAGGTTTACCTACAGGCCACCCAGGGCAACCGATCCGAGCCGGTCACAAAGGACCAGCTCCTCTATGCGGCCCAGACCATGAGTCAGATCACGCCCCTTGAGATAGACATTCTTTTCCAGCTGACGGGGACCGTCCAGCAGACAGGGTAAGCTATCATCCCCTGAGCTTCTTTATGGTCTCTGACTTGTGGTTTAATGTGAATGATTGTGAGAGTGGGTGAAAAGTTCCTCTGTCCGCTAAATGTTTGGGAATCCCTCCGTTGAATGTCAATCCAAATGTGCTAATCGTTGCATTTTGTATCTCTCTCTCTATCTGTTTATCTGTATCTGTTTCTCCTCTCCTGCACTGCACTCTTCGAAATTGTTTCGTGTTGCATCTCGATCTCAGGTGTTGGAAGCGCAAGAAGCGCAAGGCTGCTACGCGTAGGCAAGTGAAGTGGTCCCTGGTCTCAGTTTTGCTTTCGTTATCCAAATATCCGAGTATTCCCACCACCTAGGCATAACCAGTCGTTGTCTATAATACCCTCTCCATAAGATCCCACCATAAGAGCAGCTTGACTAATCTTTGGCGGTCTATCCTCTCCACAGGCGCATCGACTACAGCGACCTGAGCAACATTGCGCCCGAGCACTACACCAAGCATATCACACATCGCCTCGCCGAGATCAAAGCCGTGGAGAGCCCCGCCGACCGCTCGGCCTTCATACAGGTGCTGGAGAGCAGCTACCGCTTCACGCTCGGCTCCTTTGCTGGAGGTGTGTGTTCTATCCATCCTTGAACACCATTTTTCCCAATAATAACCCTTCATTTGCCTCTCTTTCAGCTGTGGGCGCGACGGTGGTCTACCCCATAGATCTGGTGAAGACGAGAATGCAGAACCAGCGGGCTGGCTCCTACATCGGAGAAGTGGCTTATAGAAACTCCTGGGACTGCTTCAAAAAGGTTAATATCCCTGATCTCTTGATTAACATCCTCATCCTCCAACACTAACCACTCTCCCTTTTTCCAAAAGGTCATTCGTCACGAGGGCGCCTTGGGTCTGTATCGAGGCTTGCTGCCCCAGCTGATGGGAGTGGCCCCGGAGAAGGCCATCAAGCTGACGGTGAACGATTTGGTGCGCGACAAGCTGACGGATAAGCGGGGCAACATCCCGGTATGGTCGGAGATCCTTGCTGGAGGCTGTGCGGGCGCCTCCCAAGTGGTGTTCACCAATCCTCTGGAGATCGTCAAGATTCGGCTGCAGGTGGCGGGTGAAATAGCCAGTGGCAACAAGATTCGCGCCTGGTCTGTGGTCCGGGAGCTGGGTCTCTTCGGGCTTTACAAAGGAGCCCGTGCATGCCTGCTGCGCGACGTGCCCTTCTCGGCCATCTACTTCCCAACATACGCCCACACCAAGGCCATGATGGCCGATAAGAACGGCTACAACCACCCGCTGACCCTGCTGGCCGCCGGAGCCATTGCCGGAGTTCCTGCCGCCTCGCTGGTCACTCCAGCTGATGTGATCAAGACGCGCCTGCAGGTAGTTGCTCGCTCCGGACAGACGACCTACACAGGTGTTTGGGATGCCACCAAAAAGATCATGGCCGAGGAGGGTCCACGTGCCTTCTGGAAGGGCACAGCAGGTAAGACTAAGATCTCCACTTGTTCGGGCCCCAAACTCTAACCTGCTTGATTATCCGTCAGCTCGAGTCTTCCGGTCGTCGCCCCAGTTCGGCGTAACCCTCGTCACCTACGAGCTGATGCAGCGCCTCTTCTATGTGGACTTTGGCGGCACGCAACCCCGTGGATCCGAGTTGCACAAGCCCGCCACTTCGCTGGAAAGTGCTGCAATTGGGACGCAGGACCACATCGGAGGCTACAAGGCGGCAGTGCCTCTCCTGGCCGGCGTCGAGTCCAAGTTCGGCCTGTACCTGCCGCGCTTTGGTGTTGGAGCCGCTGCTGCCACGCCCGGCACAACGACTGGCTCCTGATTGTACTTGCGCCACCGCCTGCCCAGCGCCCCATAGTCCAAGAGTTGTCCAGCAGGATTGGGGGGATCGGAGCAGAGCTGTGGTGCAACATAGACAGAAAAGGGAGCATATATTTTTGCTAGGACGCGTTTACACACACACACACACACAACACAGAGAAGCACTGAGAATTTTTCTAACGTTTAGGCGGAGAAGTTCGAACCGAAAATCGACCGAATATATTGTACTATTGTATCTGAAAAACGGGGGCGAAAACTTGCCTTGTGCCAGTCGACTCTTGACAACTGTCGACCTACACCCAAACCAAAAGAAAAAGAAAACGAAACGAAAATGTATGTACATATATTAAAGATTTTATGGGGAGTCTCTATTCAGGAAAGTGTAAAACTATTTTTTGTAAACTTTGTTAACTAGTTAAAAAGTCTAGAGCCACTACATTACCTACCAATTACCAGCCAATCACTGAACGTCAACTTTTGCACTCAATGGAACTTTTAAAGCGTAATCCTTCTTATCTTATTACGAATTTGTTCAAAACATCTATCAAGCAAAGGAAATGCAATGAATGACCTCTTAGCTAATAAAGAATAAACCAATAAAATGTATGTTGAAAACAGATCTGCGTTCTTTAAATATTTTTTGGAATTATATGAATACAATTTGAAAAGTCCCATATACAGAACCACTTTGGAGTATTTCGATTTCTTTGAAAAACTAATCTAAAAACCTTACATAGTATCTTCAACTAAAAGGCCCTAAAGCAGGAAATCCCTTCAACTATCTTTATATATAAATGCACTGATTCTCCTTATAGTATATATTTAAGTACCTTCGATCGACCTTCTGGGTTCCCCTTTTAATGTCCTAGTTCCCTATATCAACTGCTAAAGAAACTAACTCATGCTCATAGATGTCATATCCAAGTGTTCCACCCCTCAACGAGTCTCGCTGTTGAAAGCTACTTGCCAACTCAATCGAGCGGCTAATACACGACCAACTGCCACAGCACTGCCACTGCCACAGCCACATGCTAACAGGGCCAAAACGCATCTGATTAGAATCGTGGGGAATAATTTGCAAATCGATGTTGACAAGTTAATTCCATGGCTGGCCATGATTGCCTTTCTAGGCCGCCTCGGATCGGCCAGACTCAGACTCGGTTTCGAAGTCACCTGCCACGCCCACACCATCGAAGGCACCCGGCGACCATGACCGCCAAAGCCAGGTCTCGAGACCAGGCGACCGTTAGAGACAAGACAAGAGAATATCAGGCCAGAGCAGAGGGTCTCCATCGTCATCGTCATCGTCTGGCCTAATGACCGGGTGCACTGGACGAGATCGGTCTCCGATCAGTGACCAGCAGTGGGCCATAAAAAGTGCCTGAACATCGGCGCAGCAGATGCAGTTTCGAATCCGACATCGACAGCAAGACAATGCAAATGAAAGCGGTTCTGGTTTTGCTAGTGGGAGGATGCCTCCTGGCGCAGTTTGTAGCTGGATCTCCCCAGGCAGATACCCCAGCGGAAACGGTTACGGATACGAATAGCCGCATGTCTTGGTTAGCCCAGCTGCGGCAGCTGCGGAGCGATCTGCGGGAGTGCTATCGATCCGCAACGTCTCCCAGTCTGTGGACCTGCTTTCGCTCGCGCAGTTTGCGCATCTTTGAGGGCATCATGGCAGCCCAGGAGATTCCGCTCTACGAAGGAGTGCGCCTGGTGTCCGGTCCCAATGCCACCGCACACTCACTGGGAGCTGGAAAGGAACGCACCGATCTCAAGCATCTCACCTGGTTCGATCAACTCGCCGTCAGTCTGGCCAAGGGCCTCACCACGCACACGCTTCAAGTGAATTTGGGAAAGCTGACGGAGCGATATCTTAGCAGCGGTAGGTTCAACCCGTCTCCATTTCCATCTCGTTCGCTGATGCATTTCCATCCTCATGGCGCAGAGGCAGCCACCTCCGACCCTGTGGGAAGTGCTCGTCTGAGAAGACATCGCTACAATATGATTATCACTATGATGTTTGGAGTCACCGCTTTGGGGGCAATCCTGGTGCCCATGGGCTTCCAGATGCTCTCAATAGTCAGTGGGAAGGCCTTGCTATTGGCCAAGATGGCTCTGCTGCTGGCTTCAATCAATGGGCTCAAGAGGGTAAGTGTCTGTCAAGGGTCTAAGGTCAGATCTGATTAAGGTTTTCCATCGTTCTCGTAGGTGGCCAACAATGGTCTGCACTACGGACTCTACCATGTGCCAGGAGAGCATTTGGGCGGTTACTATGATAGAGGCGATGTAAACCATCCACGGAACGTGCCCATACCTGTGGCCGTGTCCCCCTCACTGGACATGGGCCTGAAGTAGGACCATTCCCGAAATGTACTCACAACAAAAGTTATGATAGCTAAAGATTTAAACTAGTAGATTTCTGTAGTTTCCAAAGCACGCATTTATGTTAACTTAAATAAAAGCCGTTTCTCAGTCGAAAGAGCTTTCAGCGTAGCTTTCTTGTTCTCTCTGTGTTGGTAACGATGTGTCGAAAACTCACCAGAAAAGCTTCAGAAAAGGGAATTTAAAAGCAGCGGCAAGCATTTCAAATGCCGTTTACCGAAGCGTAGGAAAAAAAAATGAATGTAGAAATGGGAAAAAAAAACTGAATGAGTGGGAAACTATAGCGAAAAAGCAACCATGGATCTTTCGTGGGACAATAGGCAAAGCGTTCATCGAAAGATGACCGCGAGAGGCATGCAGCATCGGTAGTAGGAGTCGAAACTAGAGCCAGGACGATGGCTATAAAAGGAAATGCGACACTGATAAGGGCCAACACTCTGTCGTCGTGCGGCAGCGTTGACGCATCGTCCTGGACCAGTCGACCAGCAGAAGTAGCACCAGCACAAGCGCCAGCCCTGCACTGCATCGGTTTCTGTCACCTAACGGTTTCTTTATCCGAATTCAAACCCGCTTCAAGCATACACAGCGTGTCTCCGTCAGCCTCGCGTGCTTTTGTCATTAATTTCGCGCTTTAATGAAGTTATTGAGTGCGTGATTCCGTTGCTAATCTTTGGAATCGGCTTAGAGCGCTGGTCAGCCGAAGGATCAAAGCGCCAGCGCCGGACGCGACATTTTTGGGCCGTCGGCTAATTGAAAAGTGGCCTCAGGACGGCATTCCAAAGCAGCTCCCGTTGAAGCTCCATCTCCCAAGGCAACTGGCAATTTCACGCCTCAGCTTAACCCGCGAAAGCCGTCGCAATGAAGCTGGTCGTTTACGTCTACTTGTCCATGATTGTGCTGGGCGTTCAGGTGAGTGTCAATTGTGTCGTGTCGAATTCGGGGGAAGGAAATGCGGCCACACGCCCGTAATTCGATCGACAAGTTGAGCCAACTTTTGCTGCAACTTTTTAACTAATGACTTGATCTAATTGGTTCCCTCTGGGATGTGGATGGGCCCTCTGATTGATTGATTCCCGTTCGCAGCGTGTGTGTCGTGTCGCTTTATTGCTAAAGTTTTCAGAGCCTTTCAACTTTGGCTTCTTGCTAAGAACCTAAGAACAGATTACCTTTATTAGAGTCACGTTGCAGACCAGGCTTTGGATTCACCGGACTGACGTGATTTCGGGGCTGGAAAGCAATTCATGAATGCCTCCAACGTGGGCATGCTCAATCGGGTCATCAGGTCAAACTTTTAGCCAACACAAATGAATATTTAATTTCACTGGGGAATGGGGAATGAGAATGTCCCTAATCCTGCAAAAGTTAACTCTGACTTTTGGCTGCAGCCGCAGAAATAGAACTGCTGACAAATCAGCTAATTATGATTGAAACTCGCATAAGAGAGATATAAAATCCTGAAATAGCAAATCGAATCCATCTTTTCTCTGTGGGGAAGGAGAATGAAAAGGTAAAAAATGGGGTGGAAGAAGCTATGAATATCCATCCATCCATCACCTGGCCCGTTTGCGACATATTTGCTCAGCTGCAACTTTGTGGCCGGGTAAGACCGCAGTCAAGGTAGGATATACATATGTAAATTTCCCCACCTGCCATTGAGCCAAAGAGAATAGAACCGAACCGTCCCAGTTCCCCGTGGGTGGAAAAACCTGAACGGAAAAGCGATTTCACTTGATGGGCGTAGTGCAATGAAACTGCAATGCTGCCTGCCTGCGACAGTCGTTCTTTGTGGGGCCACTCACTCAGAATGGGTTGGGATTGCATCTCTATCCCCCCTGTGATGGGGCTCAGCACACTTGTCCATTCCCACTAGGAGCCCTGCACTCGAAGTGCCTTTAAATGCCGCATGTTGACACCGACGCTTTGGCACTTTACACCCATTTAAGCCAGAACATGGCATGACCCCGCCCACAACCACTGCCACACCCCTGTCCATGTTTGGGTTCTCCTATTCCTACTGGAGAGTCCACTTTCGCACGGTAAACATGTGAGAGCGACAACAATTAAAACATCAATGTCAAAACCAACTGAAAGGAGCAGAATATGTAGAAGCAAAAAGTGTGTAGGAAAACCTGATAGATGTCTCCATCAAATTTCTGTGCCCACAAAGCGGAGCCTCCGAAGAAGGTTGGTAATTGGTTTAACCACAAACGAAAGATTCACCTCATGCTAAACTTTAAGGATTTAATAGTGAAATTTATGAGTCAGATCCCTCAAATTTCCATATGTATTTTTTTCTTTTTGGCCATGTCTCAGCAGCCGCGCTAAATTTCCTTCTTGCAGAAATGTGCATAAGTCTGCGATGCCAAATGTTTAATACAAATATTTGTAGATGTCGAGTATACCGTGCGTGTGTGTGTGTGTGTGTGGGAGATGTAAAGGATTTGAACAGAACTAATTTCCGTCCTGGGAGCGGATTTCTTTCGCATGCAGCAGCCGCAAAGGGATTCGCATGCACGACTTGACATCGCATTCCTGGAACACAAGTCTCACTCTCCTTGTAGACACCCACGCACTCAATACCCACTATTTTTTTAGCCACTCTCTTCCCTATTTCCAATTTGGGCTAAATTGCATTTCACAGTTAATTTGCGACTGCGAGAAATTAACACTCTCGTCCAGCGGTGCGTAATCGTAATCTAATTAATTTGCGGCTTTCGGCTGCTTGTGGCGGCAATTTCTGTTGGCAGCTTTACAAAGTTGGATGAGCTGTCATTAAAACTGGTAATTAAGAAAGTCCTTACATGGATGAAGCTGCTTTTAGTGGATATTTTTAAAGTCAAAAAGCATTTTCCCTTGCAAAGCCCGTCTTGGACGCATCAATGCATTCCTCAAAAGTCCTTCCGTTCGCAGCTTATTTCAAGGCGATTCATTTCGACTTGAATTAATGCTAAGTAAGTAATACACCATTGGGTTCCGGCACTATGCGCATATTTAAGCCACCCTTACTCTGTTAGCGGGATCTTTTCACAGAGATTCCTTGAGTGAAATTTACGCTGGCCATAAATGCGTCTGAATATTTGATGGTCGAACAGGATTCAACGTCAGCCTGTTGCTCGCTCGAACTGTACATCACTTATTCATGGTCAGAAAGACTCCTCTCCGGCTCACCTACCCGGAGAGTCCGGTCCCCTTTGAAGCTGCCTCATAGCTTAGTCATGCCGCCACCAAAGAGTCCCCATCTGCCCTACACAATGGACTTGAGGAATGATGCCGCCGCTGCAGGCTGAAGTATTTGCCGAACTCAGGGATTACTACCGAAGCCCCTTCCCCTATGAGTAATGTCAATATTTGCCTGGCCCCGAAAGGATGCTGCCAATGAGAAGGCTCTCAAGGTGCTTCCGTCGCTTCCGCTGCCGAGGCAGCGTAGGTGTCGCAGCGAGCTTTTAATAAAGTCACAAATATTTGGGGAATTTTGACTCCCGGCCAGCCCATGAGGATGGAGACCTGACACGCATATCCTTGGCTAATTAGCGAGACCACGACGCGGGCACAAAAGATTCCACTCCCGCGACCTTGAAAGGAATACAACAAGCCACCCAGGAGCTCAGCTTCGAAGGAGCAATACCATTCCACTTTTAAGCCGGGCATTGTTTGAACAACAGACTCATTAATCAATGCAGGCGACTCCTGAACTGGGCGAAAAATAATTGAAAAATTATAAATAAAGAAAAAGAAAATCAGAGCGAATGCTCGCATGCTCTTACGCAGAATAGAATGTACAGAAAGGGGAAGTAAACTTAAACGAAAAGGAATGGGTAATGGGTGGGTGAATGTCACTGAATGGCTGATAGGGATATTTTATTCTTAGATTTGTGACCTCTGCTGCCTTCTGGTGCTCCTCCTTTGAATTGCACGGATCTCCCTTGGCAACTCTTTAAAAGCCATCCATCGCAGTTCCATTGCTGGAACTGGAACCATTAGCTCGGGTCTGACGCAGATGTGTGTTTGGTTCTGGGAGCAGCTGGCGCAACTTTCTCGTTTGTTGGACAAAGGCTGTTTTCCTACCCCTCTCCGGGTCAATCCCAATCCCGAACCGATAGCAATTTCCGACATTGTGATTATGCAAATGATGCAGCGTCACGTGTGTTCAAAGATATCATGTTTATTATTTATTAACCGCCTGTTGACAGTTTATCGAGACTTGGCAGAGTCTCGATTCCCATTTTCCGCTCTCAACAGCACCGTTCGGCGAATGACTCGTGACGTCAGGGAGGGAACCATTTTTTTTAGCGTGTAGCACGGATTACGCTTAAAGCTTTGGCTTTGTCGAAAACCGCCACTAATTGACAGTTGACAGTTCCATAACGGACGGCTCGTTAAAGGCCAGCTCTCGAGTGTTGCGCAAACAATTAACCAAAAGCCGAGCGTTTTTTATACCTCCAACTGAAATATTTGAGCGCGTCGCCATTTATCACCCCTGCATGCGGGATATACGATTGGTGGTGGGTGAACCTCCAGTCGTTTTCAATTAACAAGAAAATCAGCGAAAATGCGCCTCCAATCAATCATCAAAGCCAAGAGACAGGGCCCAAGAAAGGGAACCCAAGATGAAAGTTTTTTGCCCTGGCCGGGACACTTTTCACTTTTAACATTTCCACCGATTTGTCAGGCTTATAATGTCCCTTGTACCCTTCCCCGCTTCACTCACCATCAGGAGCTGAGCACGTCCCGGGCGTCATCTGCTCCGATTCTTGTTTATTGGCAAATCGTGTGTGGTCGTTTAATTAAAACCCGGCTATTGTCCTCTGCATTGGCTGACCTCAGTCCCTGCTGCCTTTTTCCCTCCCCATCTGCAGTTGCATTGTGGCGGCGGGCCACTAAGTGCCGGGCCGCATTAGAAAGCTGGCCCCCGCTGGGGCACAACTACAGAAGTTGGCGGACATTAGCAGCGGACAACCCGCTGATCCTTGGCTGGGTTCTCGTTCTCCTTCCCCCATTTCGTGTGTCTGTCTTTTGTGTTGGCTGAATGGAGACCCTGATCTGACTGCCACATTCCGTTGCATGGGCTGCCATTTGCCAGAGGGGTTCCAATTTAGGTCTTGTCTTATATGCTCCCTCTATTTTCTTTCTCTTTCAGGCCTGGCCCAGTGTGAAGCGCTCCTTTGAGCTCTACCCCAGCCCGGCGATGCCCCACAATGTGCACACGGTGGCAGGTAAGTTGAAGCACTCCAAGCAGCTCAGTGACACGCACGAAGGCCGGAAGAGCGGGAACAAAGGCAACTTTTGAGTCAAGTGCTCGGTCTAAAGAGGAGGAGGGGGCCACACTTGGGGGGCTGTAACAAGTTTTAAGCGTCTTCAAAAGCTTGTTTGCTTCTGGTCACAGCTAAATTTGGCTCTCAAATTGATTTTTGCATAAGTTGTGTACGGCTGGTTTCCTTTTGGTGCCCCTCCCTGGCTCCACATGTCGTATGTGTAATTTATTCACTACAGCAACAGGAATTTATTGACCATCCAAATTCAAATAAAAGTGCTCTCCCCGTTTGACCAAATGAAAGATATCAGATCTGTGGCCTCTCCAAATGTCAATAGAGCTGAAATATTGGGATTTCGATGAAGGGAAACTTAATGAAATTCATGGAGAGCCACCAGCCACTCGTACACTCGTACAAAAACTTCGATTGGGCTAGTCCCAGCTTTTCCCATGGCTCCCGCTGTGTTCAGGCTTAGTCCAGCGTTTTGGCCAGGGGAATCGTCAAAGCAACCGCATGTCAGGCCCGGGCAACCAGAAAGTTGCATCAAAATCGGCATCATCCTCAGACGAAACATCAACAAATCTGTGGCGATGCCGATTTATAATTGCTTTTATTTAAAGCCAGGACGACGGGCAAGGTACATTTCAAGGGTTGGCAAACTCCCCATCCCATGGGAGTGACGTCACCTTAAAGTTTCCAGGAAAAGCAATTTTGTAGAAATATAATTTCGATTCACAAATGAGTTGTCGTAATCCCCAGGATGAATGAGACCAAAGGCAGAGGCAGCACAGCAATTCTCTTTCGTTTCTATTGCTGTAATAGCGATACTAATAAGTACGGTCTAGGATTCGAATGCTAATTCTAGTTCAGTGGAACGAAGTCCCATCGAACACTCTCATATTTAAGCCGTGCAAGTGTACGAGATGACGACTAAAAGTAGTCATAACATATGATGTGAGCATTCTGAGTGAGTGTGGAAAAGGTAGCAAGCTCGAACATACGCGTATGTTATTTATTTATTTATATAATGCTAATAAGTAGTTTTAACTAAAAATTAACATAACTTGGCGCTATAGCTGCTGGGGCCGTAAGCTCACTAGGGTGAATGGTTAAGATTGTGTATTTACAGAGATATTTACGCGTATTTTATTAATGTTTTTTTTTTAATATTGGAAATTCCGTTTGTAAGCTGTAAGTTTCAAAGCTGAAACCATTTCGATGGCCTCACAAATATTTTATGATTATTCATTCGTAATGCTCCGCATCCGATTATGATTATTAATTAGTATGATTATTATTAATGGCTAATCAATTATGGCTAATGTTCATTTAATTGTCAGTTGCAATTAATTGAAATGTTAAAAGTCACAAAATCCGAACACTCAAAAGCAATTAGCGAGTGTCATAATCATATTGGCGCCAAGTGGCAGGTTCTTCCCTTACAGTTCTACCAAAGACAATATAATAATAATATGCGTAACGCCATTCGAAATTTTGGCCCTCATATTTGTCAGGCTGGCTCTAGAGCTGACTCCAGGCTCTCTGGAAATTTGGTTCAAAAACCAGAGAGAGAAAGAGAGCGCTCTAGAGCCAGCCGCTCTCTTGTATCAAAGACTATACAATACCAAGATGATGCTTGAGCGACGAAAACCCTGTTGTATGGCGGGGCTTATCGCTGCGCCTAATAGACAGAGGGAGACGAACGGCTTCATTTGCGCACGCATATGCATGCATTTCGCACAGTGGGGTCTTTGCCTATATCAGCGGGCTAAATTAATAAGCGACTGAGAGCTCAATACATTGTTTCACACTGAAACAATTTTCAACTTTAAATGCTTATATCTCATATTCTCTTGAAAATTCTCTTTTAGCGCGTATATTCATTTTATCCAAAGCGCTCATACTATTTTTTGACCTGTGCAACCCGTTTTCGGCTGATTCCGCACTGTGCCGCGCCAAAGTGCATTGACGAAGCCTGTAGCATTTCAGAGTCTAAAAGAGAATTGAAGAAAAAGCCTCGCGCGCCAAGAAGAAGTTTCATCGTTTTGCACAAGTACGCATAATTATGCACTCACACAAGCGCATTCTATTTTGTGGATTTTTACGTTAGCTTGCATATGGCAATTGAAATGTACATATGAGCGTTACGCATTTTATTATTATATTGTCTTTGGTTCTACGTAGTCTAGTCCCTTCCAAGGGATTTAAGTTCACCCACACACGGAGATGAAGCCGGAGTATGTGACAAGCATGTAGAACAAGACCAAAAAAAATAAGTCAAGCAGTAGTTTGATTGTTTTTTTTGCGGTCAGGGTGGGCGGGATATGTGAGCGGGATTATAAAAGGCGCCCGCCCGCCTGAACCGAGTAGGGCTCTCCATCCCTGGGCTGTCTGGGCTTTGGGCCCAAGTCTGGCTAATAATTTCGGCCATAAATCAGCCAACGATGGCCGGGCATTAAGTGGATGCGCATGATAAATTAATTGTTGCACAGCCAATGCTCAAATGGGGATGTGTGCCCAGGAGCGAGGCAGTCAAAGGGGATTTCAATTACGACTCCCCGATGCCACACTCCCACTTCAGTTCTCCTATTCATATTCCTATTCGGACAAATTGGTTTCGGTTTCGCTTTTGGCTTTTGTTAGACAGTGGCCTGGGGCCATTTGACTGCATTGAAGTCATTAAATCGATCCAAATTCGTCTCCACCTTCTGCCTTCCCTTTACGCAGAATGCATGCACGTGGCCTCCGAGGCAGGTGACTACATCTTCAAGAAGCTACCCCCCCTGCCCGGTCTCAATCGGGAAGCGGCTCTGCTCGAGCTGGAAGCCGTTGCAGCTGCTGCTGCAGGAGTGGATCACGGACTGGGACTGGGAGTGGGAGTGGAAGAGCAACCGGAGGTCTGTGGGCTGTATGTGATTGGCGAGCCCGACACAATTGTGGAGATTACAATGAAGCACTACGACGCCAACTGCGAAACAGGATCCCTCATGGCGGTAAGGAAATCTCCCTCTAAGTCAAGTCCTTCCATAATCTTCCATGCACGATTCCATCCAACTTCCATCCGCAGTTTGTTGATGGCTGGGAGCTGAACGGTGAGTACTTCCCGGGCATTAAGGATCACCATCGACCGCTGGAGGAACGTGTCTACGAATTCTGCAACAACTACAAGCAGTGGTACGTGTGGATGCCCCTACATTTGAGGAATTGAATTTGCATGAATCAATTTCTCCGTTGCTTTTAGGCCCCGTGTTAGCAACAAGAAGTTCTTCCGATCCAGTCAGAACGCTGCCCTGCTGCAGTACCGTATACCCGGCCGAGGCTCCTTCGTGGCCAACGTGCGCTTCCACAAGATCACACAACGTGAGTCTCCAGTCCCCTCCTTACTTGCATCTCCCTCAACCATTATCCGCCCGATAGCTTGCAATGTACTGGTCCAGGACACCGTCGCCGTTTACAAGATGACAAACTTTGGCCAAGCCCGCAACTGCACCATCTCCGCGCTCTTTCCGGCCGTCGTGTCTTTGGCCAGTGTGCGGATCGGTGGCAAGAGTGTGCGAACACAGCAGAAGGTGAATTATGATGTGAGTATTCCAGAGGGTGGCTCGCTCTTGGCTAATCTCTCTGCCCTCGCTCATAGTGTCAGATGTTTGAGGATCGCCTGGAGATCGGCGGGTCCTCTGGTCTGGATTCCAATAGCGTGGAGCTGGCCAGCGCCGTGTGTGGAGCCGGCAACGAGCCGGGGCCCGAGCAGGCCATCTTTTGCGGGGTGAGCACCGTGCGCCTGGTGTCCACGGGTCGCTACCAGAACCAGGCAGCCCTCATCCTCCGCAAGGCCGATGAGCAGGACCTCGACATCGCGACGCTTATGTGCGCGCTCTAAGCGACGTCCTGGACTCAATCCATCTGTGTATATGTATGTACAAAAGCAGCGGCAGGGGCGGAAGACGAAGTGAATACGAATACGACGACACCCTCCCCGGACTCCATCGTAGTGCTTAAACCCAAACTTAAACTTAAACTTAATCCAAGCTACTAGTAATTCGCAAAGTATCCGCTACCCGAGAGGCATCTTGGGACTCTATATATATATATATATGTATATGTATATCGAACATTCTGAGTGTTGACTACAAGAACCGTGTGTATTTATTGCCCCGCCACCCCACCCCTCTAACCTACTCACATCTAAAGTATCTGTGGGGTTCCTCTGAACTTTTACGATAGGATTTATTGTCGCGCTAATCGATCGGCGACAATTGCCCACCCGCCGATGATACGGCTTATAAATACATATACTTGGGGGCATCGATAAGACGGACGTGTTATGAAAGGACTATGAATGCAACCAGCAGTCCCAAGAGGGAGGTCAGACTGAGGGCCTTGAGTCCAGGGGCACCACCATCGTCATTGTCCTCCTCATTCTCCAACTGAAAAGCAAAAAGCGTCAAAAGCTGAAGGAAAAAGACTCAAACTCAGACTCATGACCAGCCAGGACTACTCACGCTCTTCTCAAGAATGGCCTGCAGTTCGCGACAGCGCGTCCGCTCCTGGTAGTTACTGGTGGCAATCCTGCAGAGTGTCTTCGACAGACAGGTATTGTCGCAGCCTTCGCTGAGCTTGGGATCGGCACTGGTCACCTTGTAGCGCCAGAACTTGCGGAGCAGCGCGGGCTTCTCAGCCATCGCCACCAGGAGTTTGTCAATGCCCGCTGGACTGGTGTCCTCGGTGAACTCCTTGCTGAACTCGTACTCCAGGTACCACTCGGGTTGCTGGTCCGGCTGCAGATTGGCGGCAGTCAAGTTTAAGGTGTAGGTGAGGTGGTCCACCACCTGCTTGGTCGGCGGACTGAGTACGTACAGGCGGTAGTTGGGATTCTTGTTTGAGTAGGTGGTGAGGCTGCCGCCGTTCCAGTTTATGGCCACCGCCAGGCCCTCCTCCGTGTAGTGCAGATTCATTTCGTCCTTGTGTGTGTGGCCGCTGAAGATTCCCGTAATAATGCCGCTGAAGCGGTTTAGCACCCGATTGTACTCATTGGCCCATGCGGACCAGCAGTCGCCGTCTCCGGAGGGAATGTGCGAGAGGACGTGCACCTTTTCGCCCGCCTGTTCCGCGTCCAGGAGCGTGTCGTGGAACCACTGCAGCTGCTCCTGGATGAAGGATCCGTTATAGAAAATCCACCAGTTGTACAGGTAGCAGTCCATGCTGTTCAGCGCAATGATGCGGTGCCCCTCACTGGGAGAGGTCGTGTAGTATCCTCCCCGACGCACAGTCTCCTCCGCCTCAGCGGGAAGCCACTTGGACCACAGCTTCCACACATGCTCGTACAGCCAGTCGACGCGCAGGGAAGCGGGGATCTCATCGTTGCCAAATCTGTGGAATCATTTTGTGAGCTTTGTATCTGGAAAACATAGAGGGAGACTAGCCAGGAACTCACACATTGGCTGGGTGGGGCTCGTGGTTGCCCAGGCAGGAGTATACTGGCGTCTCCGGGAAGTACTCAGTGAGGAGACCATCGATCTCGGTGAGCATGTCGATGTTTCCCTGACGGCTGGTGGACCAGACATTGTGCGGCGGCACGTCGCCAGTGTGGTAGATCCACTCGATCTTGTGGTGCTCCTTGATGTGGTCGAAGGCGCTCAGGATCAGGTGCTTGGGGGTGTCGCAGTCGCGGTAGTCGCTCCAATAGCCAGCCGCAGAGGAACTAGAACTCGATTGGGGCAGGTCACTGCGGCAGCACATGGGCTCCGCGCAATCGGCGTTGCCGCCAGCGTTATACTCGGGATCGTAGTGGATGTCGGTGAGGTGCAGGACCAGATGGTCCTGGGGGCTGCGGGCGGGAAGATCCGAGTTGGACTCGGTGGGCAGATCGCCCTCGATGGTCAGAGTCAGGTTGAACTGCTCCTGCTGCACCTGGCAGATGGGGATGGGTAGCATGCCGCAGAAGGACTGCGAATTGGCGGCAGTCTCGTTGAAGATGAAGTCCAGGATTGGCCAGTTGAGGTCGAACAAGCCGGAGCAGACCTCCGTAGTCGTGATGCTGAAGTAGTCGCAGAGGCCCAGCAACAACTTCTTGGATTCGGCCTCGCGGTTGGGTCCGCTCAACTCCCCTTCGGTGAAGGTGCGCACAAAGACGTTGATCGTGGAGCGGCAGATGGTGCACACGAAGTACTGGTCTGCCGAGGTTAGCTCCACCAGGGACTCTGTGAAGATGGCCTTCCTGCTGTGGCTCGCCCTCATCTCCCTGCCCAGCTCCTTGAGCCTCTCGGACTCGACCCCAGTTCGCATGTACTTGACAAACTCGCGGCTTATCTCCTCGGCCACAGTAGCTGCAAGAGTGGAGGCAATCGCACCGGACGTCAATCGAATCTGTCAAGCAGGAACCTCTTTTCGATCTCTTTTCTGATAGGGAAACCTCAGTCAGAGCAGTCAGAGCACCCACCTGAGACGGCAGAGATGAGACGATCCTCGCTGGTGAAGACGGCAGGGACCCCGGGCAGGTTGAAGGCCTGGCTGACCAAGCAGAGGGCCATGCCCAGCAGTGCTATGCTCCAGAGCAACTTCATGGCGGAACTAATAGCCAGGACCGATTCCTAGCCGATATTTATAGCCTTGCTATCACACCCGCGCCTTATCTGGGCCACAGATATCGCTGCTGGAAATGCCATCAGCCATCAGCCCATACTAATGGCGATTCGGTTGCTGATTTATATGGTTGGAAGTGCTACCAGATCGATCAAATGTAGAAGCTGTCCATTATGTTCCGATTTTTACTCAGTTTTCGCATTAAATGTTCGTTGTAAATCATTCTTCTTTTCGTTCCTTGACCCACCCTTCTTGCCATCGTGGACTTTCATTCACGTGCTGAACTGCCAGCGATACCTCAATCATCATAATAGCTAGTTGAGCCATAAACCGGTAACATAAAAATGGGCTGCAAGTAGTTTGGTTTATGGTTTATGGCCATCACCAAGAGCAGGCAATTGGCTAATTTGTGCTAATGCCGCTACTAGCTATTAGCCGATAAGGCTGTCGATAAGGCTGGCAAGCAAACTATATGTTTTGGCAGGAGATAGCTGCCAAAAAAACAAGAGATTAGCAGCTTCGATAGGGATAAGCGCATATTTATATTTGCCACTTGAGTGGGATTGGGATTGGGATACGGTCACAAGGGAATTATATAACTTACGAGCTATGCTAACGTATGCAAAAGAAACAAAAGCTAGAAGGTTAGTCGAACGGACAGAGCCACAGCCAGCAGCGAAGCAAGGCTGAGCAGGCCTAGGGCAGAAGCTCCTCCATCATCATCATCATCATCGTCCCCTGGTTCGGTGGTCTCCTCGTTGTCCAGCTGAGGATACACAGAGGATACACATTGAAGTGGTCTAATTTCAAGGGGAATAGTGCGTAACTTACAGCCAAAAAGAGTCGCTCCCTGAGCGCCTCGCAGCGTTCGCGCTTGTTGTTGATAGTCACGGAGGCGCGGCAGAGGGAATTGGCCAGGCAATTGCGATCACAGCCGCGGTTAATCTGCGGATCGGCAGAAGTCACACGGAAGCGCCAGTACTACGAAACACAACAGAGTTAGCCAAATGAAAATACGACTGGACATGAATGGGATATACACACCTTCCTCATCAGCTGTGGATTGTCAGCAAACTCATCCAACAGCTGGTCGATTCCCGCTGGACTGGTGTCCTCGGTGAACTCCTTGGCGAATTCGTACTCCAGGTACCACTCGGGCTGCTTATCGGGTGTCAGATTGGCTTTGGTTAAGTTGTAGATGTAGGTGCGGTGATCGATCACGCCAAAGTCTTTAGAGCTGATGTCGTAGACCCTGTAGTCGGGGTTCTTGTCGGAGTAGGTGGTCACGGCGCCGCCGTTCCAGGCCACAGCGGTGGCATGGCCCTCCTCCGAGTAGTAGACAAAGAGCTCGTCCTTGTGCGAGTGCCCGGTGAAGATGCCGCTAATGGTGCCGCGGAAGCGTGTGATGCACTTGTTGAACTCGCGGGCCCACACGGACCAGCAGGTGCCATCGCCCGAGGGGATATGGGTGAGAATGTGGACATACTCGCCTGCCTTCTCCGCCGCCAGGAGCGTGTCGTGGAACCATTGCAGCTGTGGGATCTTGTCCGTGCCGCTGTGGTACAGCCAGAAATTGTCTGTGTAACAGTCGTTGCTGTTCAGGGCGATGATGCGGAAGCCCTGGCGCGGGGAGACAGTGTAGTAGCCGCCCTTAAGGATTGTATCCTTCGTCTCGACCGGCAGCCACTTGGACCAGTCGTTGTACAGGTGCTCGTACAGCCACTTGGTGCTGACCTCGTCGGGCACTCCCTCGGGACTGAAGCTGAAATCAAAGATTATATGGGATGGGGAATGGGAGAGGGGAGTACATATTAGCATATAATATAGAATGGAATGCGGAATTGAATTACTTACAGGTTGAGTGGGTGGGGTTCGTGGTTGCCTATGCAGGGGTAGATGGGAACATCGGGGTATGCCTCGTTTAGGCGGCTGCTGACCTTGGTCAGCACTTCGGTGTTCTTCTCCACAGATGTGGCCCAGACCATGTGATCAACAATGTCTCCCGTCTGATAGACATAATCGCACTTCTCGGTGGCCACGGCGTGTTCAAGGGCCGATTCAAAGCTGTGCCATGGCAGGTCGCAGTCGCGATAATCACCCCAGTAGCCTGCTGCCTCGCTGGTTCCCTGCACCGCGTCCTTGTTCCGCTGGCAACACATTGGCTCAGCGCACGAGGCGAGGCTGCCGGGCTCGTACAACGGGTCGTGGTGGATGTCGCTGAAATGGCAGATTTTGAGGTCCGTGTCCGTGGCCTGAGGGGGGTCCGACTTGGGGCCGCTGATAGCCTCGCCAGTGGAGTCCACGGTCAGAGTCCAGTTGTAGTCCTGGTTGGAGCCAGTGTTGCAGAAGCTGAACTGCATGAACAGCGAGCAGAAGGTCTGCGAGTCAATCTCGGAGTTTCGCAGGATATACTCGACGCTGGGAAGGTTGGAATCGATCAGACCCTCGCAAACCTCTTCGGTCTGCATGTTGAGGCGCCTGCACAAGTCCATTGCAAACTGTTTCATGAACTCGGCGCTGTCCTCGCCGTGAAGCTCACCATCCTCCTCCCGAATGGTCCTGGCAAAGACGCGCATCACTGAGCGGCAGGCGACGCACACGAAGAAGCTGTCGCGTGCCTCCAGTTCGGGCAGATTCCGCGTGAAAATGTCTTTCTGGCTGTGTGACTTGGCCAGTTGCGAGGTCAATGTCTTGAAGGCAGGCGTTTCAACGCCCGTCTTCATGTAGGTGAGGTATTCCTTCGCGAGGCGATCCGCAACGTCGTCCGCAATGGCGGACAGTACCTTGTCGTCCATTTCGAAGTCAACAGGTACTCCTGGCAAGTTGACCGCGGACGCGAACAACGCTCCGCAGAGCAGCAAGAGCACGATTCCTTTCATTTCCGTCGTTTGCTGGATTACTAACGGCGTCGCACCTGACGAAGTCCACTTATATGTAGCTTCGCCGCAGATTATTGCTTTATATCATCCGACTTAGTATTGGTCAAGCCATTGACAAAAATAGGAAAGCGCTCACACCGCCAAAGATTACCATAATCTCACGCATTCCGCTTGGGAACTTTTATTTTTGGCGCCCTTATGGCTTTCTCGAGTGCCTTTGGCTCTAATCTGCCTCCGGTGGGGCAGATTGTAGTTTAGATTGTAAAATCTTTTTGCCTGCCGACTCAGCACAACTCGTCAGGAACATTCCAGCTGGGGATCTTGGAGATTGGCATTGGCATTGGCGACATCTTCGTCTGTGTAAAAAACACCATTAAAAAGCTTTCCCTCTAACTGTAAAGATGAAGCGGCTGCACGAGAAGCTTTTTTGTCTGTGAGGCTGGCACGCTTTGTTCACTCGCTGCAGCATTTTGCAAGCAGCTTTGCTAACACAGAGGGCAGAGCGAGAGAGAAATAGCAAAAAGCTTATGACTCAGTACAAATATCTAAATCAGTTTGATATTCTATGCAGCATGTTTGTAAGCGTGAAATGTGATCGTATACGTCACACGTACACATGCTGCATCGTTTAGAAGCTCCTTTATGCTCCATTTTCGTTGTTTTGTGTACTTTCACTTTGCGCGCTTCAAATTTTTTTTAGTTTTGATCTTTGTTAATATATGGCAGAGACGATTATCCCCAGGCGGTTATTTTGAAAATTTATGAGTTTTTCCAACTATCCCTAAAAAAACAAAATATGTTACACTCAATTTTTGTTCCTGCGCCAGGTTTTGTCTCCTATTTTGAGGCGAGGGAGCTTGGAACGCAGCAAAATTTTCGACATTTCAGGATTGATTGACCGCGGACTTAAAGATCAAAATACACAGTAAATATACCTAGGAAAAAGTAACTTAACCCACTTAACACCGCTCTATTAAAGCAGTTGATTAAAATAATTCATTTTGTTAATTCTACTTGTAGCTCTTTACTGGAAGCATGTACTACGCCGTACTTAAAATCTAATATTTAGATCAAAGCGATTCAGTACTGCAAAACGAATTCAGAGTACAGTATTAACATTCTTATATTATTATTTATCTTATATTATAATAGTTTTTCAGTGAAAGCAAAGCCTTGTCAGAACTACCGGTTGAAAACTGTTGGTATTATATTATTAAATATTAAAAAACCGTGAATAACAATACAATTGTCGATCCTCTGCATTGATTATTCTACGCTTTACACGAAACAAAGAGGCTTGCCAAGCTTGTTGAAATTGATTTAACTATCAGGTAAAACTATAAACCAAGTGCTGATATTCCTAGCTAGGTAGTAATGTCAAATCGAATATGAAAATCCAATCATTAACAGAGTACAATTAACGCATTGTCGACTAGTGGGTATTCAAATTTACGCTCCAATATTATGAATCTGGAAGTTTTTTTATTTACGTATTTCATATCATATATCAGTATACTGCATGGTTAGTGGTATTAATAGCACACAAAAATATTTCTATTCAATACTGTGACTTTACACGTTTCCACTTCACATTTCACAACACTAAATGATTACGCGCTAGTAGATTTGTCAATAATTAGCCCCATTTAAAATGTTGGTATTAATATTTCGCCCATATATCGATATAATATGTATCGGTACATATTCCACATCTCTAATTGCTATATTTGTTGTTAAAATCACCTGGAACCTGTAATAAATAGCGTATTTGATTAATGAAATATAATAATGTGTTTTTACGCTAGTCATTTATAGCACAGATCGAAACGTGGATGCGATGCAAGCAAGTCAGCCGGACAAGTTGTCAGCAATTACTCTGCAGGCACGCCAACGGCACGAACAACAAAGAACATCATAACCAAAAGAAAGCCAACTCCCAGCGATATAGTAAAAGGCACAATTTAAAATTTAAAGATGTCTACAGAAGAGCATGTGTGGCGAGCGCATGTTGTAAAATGCTTGCGGGAACGAAATCGGAAGGAATGTGAAAATTTCAAGGAAATAATTGAACAAAGTAAGACGCGGAGCAGAGCGTCAGTCACTTCGATGGTTCCTTGTGGCTCTGCTCGACTCTGCTCGTTTACTCATCACACATATGTATGCATGTTTAATAACTTGTTTAATATTTCAGACAACCGACTTATAGATCATGTCGCCCAACTAAAATCGGACAATCTGAAGTTATCAGTAGAAAATGAACAGCTACGTAGTGCAGTGTCAACAGGTGGCACCGGCTCGCATGTGGCCATAGCTACTCTAGAAAAAAAACTGCTAAGTCAACAAGAGGAACTCACAGAACTTCACAAAAGGAAGGGGGAAAACTCCCAGTTGATTGTCGACCTAAATATGAAAGTAGAGCAACAAAGAATATTTATGTCTGAAAAGGAACACAGGTGAATATATGGTCTCTACTATTGCATAATTTATTGTTTAACTTTTGTAGCCTTGCTGAGCAACAAACGAACAACAATCGATTGCGGGCAGAGGTCCATTTGCTTCATTCGAGTTTAGAAGAACTTAAGAAACTCAACAATACTCTGCTGGATGAGCATACAGCGCTTCAGTTGGCGTTTAGCTCACTAGAGGACAAAATGCGAGGCATTCAAGTAAGTTTGTGTTGTATGTATTTTGAAATGAACAAGATCACTAAAGCCTAGTGTTAGTTGTAAAATATTAAGCAAGAAATTAGGACTTATCTAAGGCTAACGCGCATTTAAATTTTATGTGGCTGCCAAATTTTTTAGTGGATTGGCTTTTTAATATAAATTTTTACTATAGAGTAACGAGCTAGAACCTTGTAAGTACGTACCCATGTTTTGGCTGTAGCACGGCTAATAATACTACACAGAAGGATCCGTTTTAATTTTGCATATTATTTTTTATCCAAAATAAGCAAATACCATACTGATGTAATGTATGCAATGAGCTATATAGAATATCCATATGCCAATAAGTACACAAATTAAAAGTATGAATGACAAAATAACTAGCATCCAGTTAAAAAGGCTCATTTAAGAAGCATAGAGTACTTGACAGTTTTAACAAACAGATACGTGTATCCTATATTTATATATAATGGCTTTTAGAATCCAACCTTCGTCTGCATTTAAAGCACTTATGTATCAATGATTTAAATGGTTTGATAAACAAAGTTAAAAGATTTTTTTTTGGTATGCTAAATATATGCGTGTAGGTACATTTTTTTGTTGTTAGCGATTGTGGTTGCAGGTTCACCGATGGATCAATTCGTTTCACCTTTATTATGCCCGTATACACACGAAAAAATATTGATATCTTTTCTCAGCAGCCCCATTATCATTTGAGCGCTTATCGTGAAAAACCGTCCTCAAGCGAATAATATATTTTCATAATTTCCTGCAGTAGTCTGTAGCCGGCTCGAATATTAGGATGAAAAAGTGTTTACTAAAGAGCTCATCGTTTTCATTTAATTCACAGGATGAAAATCGTTGCTTACTAGAACGTCTAATGCGTTATAAGTCAAAGGATGCCGACAAACTGAATGAGGAAAATGAAAGCATTATAAGGTATGTATGTTAACTTTGAATTCAAATCATTAATTGTTATCACTTTCACCTTAAATTCACCATAACGATTTCCCATTTATTGCTGAAATCAATGAAAATTTATATGCAGTATGTATATCAATTCTGAATGTATGAACATAGGTACAAGCACTGACAAGTTACGATAAGTACAGCCACATGACCATATGTTTGTTCGTCCAGTTTATCTGTTGCTTATATGTATGTTTACTATCGGCAAATTTCTTGATTTTACTGTACAAATATTTTCAGCAACATATCGTTACAATTTTTACATATGCTGAGAAGAGCCAACCATTTAGATGAACATTTTCAATTGCATCATTCATTCTGATTTGCTCTTAAATTTTTTGGTTCAATATATAAATGTATAACCGTTTTTAAAAATATCTAGAAAAAGACTGCCGTCAATTTTCAGGAAACGATCGGCTAAACTAAAACGTGACCTCGAAGACGCTGTTCGTGAACCGAGTTCGTCGAGTAATAGTGCGCCTACATCTGGTATAACATCATTGCACCGTAACTCCATAAGTCCTGCCCAGTTCATTGGTGGTAATATAACCGACGACGACTTTGACGAGGCGACGATAAATGGCGCCATGGAAGCCATAGGTCTTGATGATACTGAATATATTAACGCTCGTTTTACAGCGGGCGAAGTTTGTGAAACAACTAGAGCTTCCATAGACGCTCTTAAAGCAACAGGTTACTTAGGTCAGGCAAATCCGACAAAGATTCTTATGAAATTCGAGGCACATGAAAACGAGTCGCATGCAGTACGTTGGAGTCCCGTGGAGCGCATGGTAGCTACAGGCGGCGCTGATCGAAAAGTCAAGCTCTGGGATATTGGTAAAAGTAAGTATTAAATGTATATAATTTCTTGTGGTCAGGCACTCCTTCTTTTATTTGTAGATAACATATTTACTATGTTAGTCTGAGCTTCTAGATAGTGAAATTGATATTGTTGTCGACTGCCATACACCAAACTGAACAGGAATTATATTCAATCCCTAATATATAAATATTGCTAATCTTTTGTGCTTATATACATACGTACATATATGAAGGTATTGCTAGCCATTCATGAGAGGACTTTGTTTTTAAGATATACATAAGCATTCATAGCCGACTCGATATAGCCATGTATGCCTGTCCATCTGTACATCCGTCCTTCTTGTTCGTCGCCTAGTTCTCAGAGACTATAAGAGCTACAGCAACCAAATTTTGTATCCAGACTTCTTTGATATCACACTGTTACAAGTTTAACATGCTCACATATTCTGCCTCGTGCAGAGGGCGTTCTCTGGTTGAGGCGACCGATCTAGAACGGCGTGATGTAGATGCCCGATGTAACGAAGATGTAGCTAAGAAAACAATATTTTATATTATAGATTCGACAGAGCCACGTGCAGTTTTGAGCGGGAGCAGTGCTGGCATTAACTCTGTGGACTTTGATTCCACGGGCGCATACATATTGGGAACCTCAAACGATTACGGCGCTAGAGTGTGGACGGTGATAGATAATCGGTTAAGGGTGAGTAAAAGAATTTGATCTAGAATATGTTGCGATCGGTTAGTTAACATATTTATTTAGTACCTCAGTTTTGAAACTAATTGTCTGAAGCTTTGCACAGAACCTATTGTAGCAAGCAATACGTAGGAATTAAAAAGATTAAATCATTACCTGCCATTGGAATGATTGGTCAAAATACTAATCCTTGTAAAATAAAATTGTTCGTAAAGCTCAAAAGGATCTACGACATTACAAATTATCTATATATTCTTAAAACGGATGATAATCCGGGTCCAGCTAGCAATGTCCATTTGTC